ATATATATAATAGCCCCCCCTCTCTCTATATATTTATGGCGCGCTCTCTCTATATATTTATAATCTATATCTCTCTCTCTCTATATATATATATGTATGTATATTAGCCCCCCTCTCTATATATATTTATGGCACTCTATATATATATTTATAATCTCTATATATTATTTATATTATATACACTATATATATAATAGCCCCCCTCTATATATATTTATGGCACTCTCGCTATATATATTTATAATCTATATATATTATTTATATTAGCCCCCCCTCTCTATATATATATGGCGCTCTGTATTTATAATCTCTATATATTATATACACTATATATATAATAGCCCCCCTCTATATATTTATGGCGCTCTATATATATATTCACAATCTATATATATATATATTTATATTATATACACTATATATATATATATATATATATATATAGACCCCCTCTCTATATATAGCGCTCTCTCTATATATATTTATAATCTATATATGTTATTTATATTATATACACTATATATATATAATAGCCCCCATCTCTATGTATATAGAGCCCTCCTCTATATATATTTATGGTGCTCTCTCTATATTTATAATCTATATATATTATTTATATTATGTACTCTCTCTCTCTCTCTCTATATATATATATGTATGTATATTAGCCCCCCTCTCTATATATATTTATGGCACTCTATATATATATTTATAATCTCTATATATTATTTATATTATATACACTATATATATAATAGCCCCCCTCTCTATATATATTTATGGCACTCTCGCTATATATATTTATAATCTATATATATTATTTATATTATACACACACACACACACACACATATATATATATAAAATAGCCCCCCTTTATATATATGGTGCGCTCTCTATATATATTTATAAGCTCTATATATTATTTATATTATATACACTATATATATAATAGCCTCTCTCTCTCTCTCTCAATATATATATATATATATATATATATGGCACTATATTTATAATCTATATATTACTTTATTGTATACAGTATATAAATATATGAAGCTGTTATATAAGTATAGATATATATAGCTATATTATACCTATTCATCTTCTATCTATATCTATATATAAATAAAAATGTAATGTTCGTTTGTGGGAATAACATAACTCAAAAACCACTGAACGAATTGACCCCACTATATATATTTATAATTTATATATATACCTTATATTATATACAATATATATACACACACACAGCTATTATATATAGGTGTGTGTATGTATGTATGTGTGTATGTATGTGTGTATGTATGTGTATATATATATATATATAGCTATATTATACCTATTTATCTTCTATTTATATATAATACACTACCAGTATATTATACTATTAGTACTAAATAATAAATTGTCTGTATTATAACGGTTCTGGTCCAACTTTCCTGATTGAACACATCTCCTCCTGTGAGAGCCAACAAGAGCTTTAAGATGGGGAGGCCCTGCTGGGAAGGCCCTGCTCTCAGTCCCACCACTTTTGCAAGTGCAATTGGTGGGGACGACAGACAGAGCCTTCTCAGTGGTGGCCCCCCAGTTGTGGAATTTCCTCCCTAATGACATAAAGCAGGCCCCATCTCTTCTGGTTTTTAGAAAAAAATTAAAGACATGGCTCTGTACACAAGCATTTGCAGAATGAATCATTATGGTTTCGACACAGTCTGAATAAGGATTATGAGCAAGGATTACAAATGAATGGAATCATGCATTTTATATGTTTCAATCTGTTATTATTCTATGTGTTTTATTGATTAACGGCTTTAATTGTTTTTGGTATGTGGGATAGGTTTTCTGACTATGTTTTAAGTGGCATTGAATCTTGCCATTGTAAGCCGCCTTGAGTGAGGCCTACAGGGGTGAGAAAGGCAGGGTAGAAATGAAGCAAATAAATAATAACTATCATCAGTTGTAGTATCTGATATATATAATATATATCCAAGCTTTGTTTGCAAGATCCTGTACTTTTGTCCAACCCTTTTGAATTTGTGAGGTAGCAATTCCTGGCCAGATCCAAGGTTGTCTTGTGAGGTGGGTTTTATGACCTGACCTTTATTTATGCATACAACAGAATAGCACAACAGTAGTAGAAATGTAAATTGAGCTGGTCATTTGAATTCCTTTGCAATGACCTGCAGTTTGGACAAAGGACATATTATTATTATTATCAACAACAAGCAATTTTTTTGTCATGTCAGGAGTGACTTGAGAAACTGCAAGTCGCTTCTGGTGTGAGAGAATTGGCAGTCTGCAAGGACGTTGCCTAGGGGATGCCTGGATGATCTTGATGTGTTTATCATCCTTGTGGGAGGCTTCTCTCATGTCCCCGCATGAGGAGCTGGAGTTGTTAGAGGGAGCTCATGCACCTCTCCCCGGATTCGAACCTGCAACCTGTCGGTCTTCAGTACTGCCGGCACAAGGGTTTAACCCACTGTGCCACCGGGGGCTCCAACAAGCAATAATAATAATAACTTTATTTATAACCTGCCCTATCTCTCCGAGGGGACTCACAGCCGTTTCCAAACAAAAAGTGGCAAACATTCAATGCCATAATGAAAGCCAAATCAAACCAATGAATGAAACAACAACAGTGTAAACTTATAATAACTAACCAAAAGTAAGTAAATTAAAAACAACATAAATAATTAAAAAGCATAGTATTATGCATAGTATGAAGCATAATAACACTATGTAACAAAAATTGGAAATGGATAATTCAGTTCCTGAAAGGTCATAATTCTGAAAGATGTCCTGCAAAAAGTGCTGAAAGATGTCTTCCAAAAAGACAATGTGCTACAGCAGAATGTCCCACCAAAACTAAGTTTTTGCAGTTTAATAAACTTTGTCTATATTTTTATAATAAAACCAATTAGGAAATGACATTTGTAATCCAGGAAGAAAAATCGTGTTACATAGTGTAATAATAATAATAAACATTTTCCATGTTTTTATGATAGAAGCAATTAGGAAATTACATTTATAACCCAGGAAATTACATTATTATTATTATTATTATTATTATTATTATTATTATTACATAGTGTAATAATAATAATTAACAATAATACATTTTATTTATTACCTGCCTCTCCTGATGGCTCAAAGTGTAGTACAACCAATTTTAAAAAATGAACATAAATTACTACATTTCATAAACACATACACACATATATGTGAGAGTATGTGAATACGTATACGAAACACAGCTACAGAATTGACATACAGTAGTAATAGAATGCAAATTAAAAACTCATTATATATATGCACATATACATAAACATATTTTAGGGCAAGCCATGCTGTAGGCCTCACTCGCACTAAAGGGCTGCTTCTCTGTGCCTGCTTTCCTATTTGCCCTCTGTTACTGTTTTTTAATGCTTTCTTGTGGCAAACAGGAGATACAGCTTGCTATTAATGATCCAGGTCTGCCATCTACATTGCTATATCATCCAGTTTCTGAATCCTGTTTTGAACTGGGTGATATGGCATTGTGTAGACCAGGCATGGGCAAACTTAGGCTTCCCTCTATGTGTTTTGGATTTCATTGTGGGGGTCGGAGGCCAAACTTCATTTATTTATTTGTTTGTTGGATTTATATAGTCCTTTTCTCACCCCTGGGGCGACTCAAAGCGGTTCACCACATAATCAATGTTAAAATCCAATGCCTCACGCCTGGAGGGCCGAAGTTTGCCCATGCCTGGTGTAGACTAATATAATCAGAATTCAGAACCTGGATGATATGTCAGTGTAGATCAAGCTGCAGTCATGGGTTTGATGTGTTCCAAAGTCAGATTTTTAAATTATTTTCCTTACTTTTATTCAATTTTTTAAAATCTTAACTTTGGGTAAGTCTTTAATTAGACAGGCATGTGTTCTGATTCTGTTTTCTACCTTTTTTGTAAGCCACATTAAGTCAATAATGGGCGCATCTACACTGGGCATGGACAAACTGCAGCCCTCCAGGTGTTTTGGACTTCAACTCCCACAATTCCTAAGAACCGATAGTCCAAAACACCTGGAGTGCCACAGTTTGATACAACTTTAACCTACCCATCATGGCTCACTGCTATGGAA